CTGAGCACTGGGGAGGGATATGCAGCATTTCAGAATAAAGGATGTGGCTCCTCAGCAGGGCACGGCTCACCAGGCAGAAGCCACTGCAAAACAAGGACATTGCAGTGGGACTGTAGAACCGAGCTGCCCTGGGTGCACTTGCAATTAAAAGTGGAAGGGCAGGTGTTGGCTGGGCCATGAGTAATGCTGAGGGTTGCCCGTGGTCACCAGACCAAAACTGTGTAACCACTGCTCCAATGCCACTCTGTGTTTTATCGATCAAGACAGAAACTGGAGATAATGTCAGTTCGTATTTTTTTTTAATACCCTTTCATTTTACTTGTGCATTAGGGTACATACCTGATGCATGCCTTAAAGGACTCGACTTCAGCTTTAACATGGGCAAGGGTTAATCTGCTGAAATCAGCTGAGTTATAGCTAAGATATTGGGTGAATTTGGCCCAGGATTCAACCTCTACTTCTGCTTCTACGTAAACATACTTAACGTCTATCAAGTATTTTATGTCAGATGTAGGACAGCATTTTGTAGAAACTGTTACTCAAAGCAGAGCTATGTTGAATAATAAAAAAACCCAAACCACCAAGGTTTTCCCTCCTGCACAGGAGGCACGTATTCTCTGCAGTTCCCCAGCTGGCAGGCAGAAGCACCCTGGGAAGAACAGTTTTCCCATAGGGAGTGCACTGAGCTTCTCTAACAGATCCCTGATTCATCCAGTGCCTTTCACAAGAGCTTTTCTTCCACCTTATGCCGTCTGTTTGTGTCTGTGTAGAAAAGGAAAGCAGATTATGTGGAAACAGAGGTGTAAGCACATATTGGGGTAGGCAGTTCTGGCTGCACTGAGTGTCTGTGCATGATCCTGGACGTGCGGTTACACCCTACACATACCTCTTGCCCAAGCAGTTAGTATTTGGCTTCTAATTCTGTATGTCTTCTGCTCCACATCCATGTATGTGTTGAGTTTCTTTTTACATTTTATACATGTTACAATATAATGTTGTATATGTTTTTTGAGGAGGTGGAAGAGGGAATCTCTTTACAATGGTTTTCTACTCCTTTTTAAAGATGTGACACAAACTTTCATAGTAACGACAACAGCGCAGTTTAAGAAATTGGTAATATTCTCCTCATAAAAGCTGCTTCTAAAACAGCTCTGCACATAGGCATCTGCAAGCAGGGAATACAACACATGAAATGTACTGTTTGCTCCCTGTGTTTATGTGTCCTTTGTGAATCCTGCACAAGATATCTGTAGTTCTGTACATCTGATGAATATAGATTGCAACATATTTTTGCAGAGACTATGGCCTTTTGGAACATGTACCAGCTGCACACCCTTTGATGGAGTAAAGGCAAATCACAGTAGATTTTTGGTGTCTACGAGCAATTTTTTTTTAAGTGCAGCAAAGATTGCTACATGTCCCCAGGCACAAACCACATTTGGCATGTTTTTATGGGCTTGTGCTTTTATGTAGTAGCCAACATTTATGAAAACAAAAATTAATCCAGAGCAAAACCCAAACTTTTGTACAACAACCAAAAAGATACTTGGTCAAATACAGTAATTTGGGGTTCCTCAAATGTAAGGCTCTTTACATATGTATTTATGCTTAGTTCCACTTTGAAGTAAACAGATGGCAGACCCCCTAAGTTGTAACACCATGTGAGAGGGAGGCAGATGCATGGGATACTTTGTAAGCACAATAAAACTCCCACCCCTACATTCTTCATTAGCTGCTCTGATTAAAATTGCATATACCTTTCAGTGATGCAGGAAAGATAAATATGAAGATCTATGGAAGTAAAATATCTGAAATAATTCTAGAGGTTGCACCAGACCCTCCCAAAACACTGTCTGCAAAGATGAAGGCATCCAGGGATGAAAACAGAGGAATACCAAGGCATACACACTTTTATTGCAATTGTTTCAAATTTTGTGCTTAACATTTCATTGCTTAACAGCAGCAACAGGGAGACCGTCCTATTATAGAGTCTAGTGTCCCCTTAAACCATCATACAACTCCAGTGAGTGAAACTTTCTCCTCTACCCTTCAATAAAACAAAAAATGTTTTCCAAATGTACTTGAATGATTTGAAAAAAAAGAATTAATGTACTCTAATTTCTTCTAAGAAAATCGATGAAATAAACAGAATGGCTAAAGCAGCTGATACCTAAAATGATGTCACAGCTGTGACCTTTAATTGCACCTGAGTGTCATTCTCCAAAGTATTGTAGATTCAGTGGTCCCAAGGTATTTGGTGCCTAATTACTACTGAATTGTAAAAGACTGTAGCCTCTGAATCTTAAGACAAGGCAGTAGAAGTAAGTCCAGGAGCAGGCAGAGGTGAACCTCAAATGGCCCTGATGCTTACAGTGCCATGGCAGAACACGTTTTATCTGCACAGGGATAAGTCCTAATTCTCCAGCTAGTCTCTCTGTCCTTGCAATGGTGATGCTAATCAGGAAAAAACTAGTTGGGTACTTCCACATAGGGCCCTGATGCCCCTTCCTGCTGTGGTGGGTTGACCTTGCCTGAATGCCAGGTGCCCACCAAGCCACTCTATCACCCCCCTCCTCAGCAGGATGGGGAGGGGAGAAAATAAGATGGAACAAAAACCCCAAACTTGTGGGTCGAGACAAAAGGCAGTTTAATAGAAGCAAAGCAAAGCTGTGCACACAGAAGCAAAAGAACAAGATATTTATTCTCTACTTCCCATCAGCAGGCGATGTTTGGACACTTCCCAGGAAGCTTCTCGGGCTTCGTACGCGTGGCGGTTACCCCCGGAGGACAAGGGTAAATAACAAATGCCCCCCCTTCCATTCCCCTTGCTTTTAGTTCTGAGCAGACGTCATATGGTATGGAATATCCCTTGGGTCCGTTTGGGTCAGCTGTCCTGGCTGTGTCCCCTCCCAAGACCTTCCCCACCCCAGCCTACTTGGGGGGTGGGCAGGAAATGTTGGAGAGCCAGCCTTGGTGCTGTGCGAGCACTGCTCAGCGGTAACCACAACAGGGGTGTGTTATCAACACCCTTCTAGCTACTAATACAAAACACAGCGCTCTGAGGGCTGCTGTGGGGAAAATTAACTTCATCCCACCAGACCCTGCAAAGGCAAATGGGATCTGGCCACAACTCGAGCTGCCTGAGAACAGGCGTCCGACGCAGCAGGGATGTCATGTAGCTGCGATCTCAGGAACAGCCCAGTATTCCTGGGGTCGCATTGCCAAGGACAGAGCAGGCAGAGCAAAAAGCACCTCACTGCTGCTTTATGCCATCTTGCAGATAGACTCACTTTAAATTCACAAAAACTGCTGCTTAATTCCTGCCTGGTCCTGTACCCACCAACAACCCCACAAGCACAGGCCCAACCGACCATCTACCTGTCTACTCTCTCTCCTCCCTTGTAGTTCACCTTGTCAATTCAGGTGTTTTCTGCTTATTGAGTTTTCTAAGGCTCTTTATAGAATCATAGAATGGTTAGGATTGGAAGGGACCTTAAAGATCATCTAGTTCCAACCCCCTTTAAGTTGTGCCTAACTTCTAAGTGCTGCAGAGGAGCCTGTATTCCTCATCTGAGCTTAATCAAAGCACAACAAGGTGGGTACTGCGATGGAGGCGTATGCTTCATTGCCCTGCGTTCCCTTAGCTGGCCTAACCCTAAGGGCTTCAGCCAGTCTTGAAAATCAGACACTGGTACTCAGGTCCCAACAGCAGTTCTCCAGATGTCCCCACTGACGCCTGTATTGGATGACAGAGCTGTGAAATACGAGGAAAAGAACCTCTAAGCGTGTTCAAGGGAAAGATGAGACCAAGCAGTAGGTTTTGAAGTTTGTTTTCAAGTAAGTTTCGATGTGTATTTGGTTTTGCTTTATCTGCAGCACTGTCCTTATAAATTGCCATTGTTTCCTTTTGTGAAAGACACTATCTGGAACTTCCTGCACAAGGTGTGTTGAAATGCCTGTCTGTTTCTTTCAGGGTGATGACTGCTAATTCTCCAGGCACCTACCCATCCTTCAAGGAGCTGCCTACATGTGCGACCACAGTCTTGTGGGATCAAAGTCAAACTTTTGAACCCAAGTGACATAAATAAATTATTAAAAAACAAGCAAATTATTTCACAAGGCTTTGTACTCCCTCTTTAATATTTATTTCCTCCTTTGGTATCTCTGCTTGCCTCACTTACGGGCCTTTTTAGTACAGGTGTGTGCCAGCAAGGCCTCAGGTTGGGATTCTCAGGCTGACACCCACAGCCCAGCAGAGCTCTGCAGAGCTTGTTGAAAGTTATCATAGAATCATAGAATGGTTGGGGTTGGAAGGGACCTTAAAGATCATCTGGTTCCAACCCCCCTGCCATCAGCAGGGACACCTTCCACTAGACCAGGTTGCTCAAAGCCTCATACCTTGAATGTGCATCATGGTATGACTGGCAGCGCTGTTTATCCCATTTAAAACAATGAAGGTCTCCATGACCAAACCATGGGAACCCTCGGGTTTCAGCAGGAGAAGCTTACAAAAAATGACGGGACATCACTTACACTTACAAAAATGGATGAGACGGTGGTAGATCAGAACGTGGCCAAACCCAGCAGTTTGGTCCAGACCAGAAATGGATTAATGCAAAACTGTTCCATCCAGGATTGCAGAAATGTTATTTGGGGCTTCACTTCACTACAAAACTGCTAAAATCACCGCTATGGAGGAAGCCTGCAACTCTGCTTGTTTTGTTGTTGGGGTTTTTTTCCCCATTGTGCACTGAGATTAAGGTACATGGGTCACTCAAGAGAGAGGTTTTCCTGGCATTCAGATATGTGGACATTAAGAACATAAAGGCAAAGATTGAGTGAGAGATGGACCAGGGGAATTAACTGAAGCATGAATGCTCATTAACGCTCTAGTTGGTTAAGAAAACCCACAGTGTCTTGGGAAAAAATTAATGGCAATTTATATCACAACAGTACTAAGCACTAGAAAACACCAGGATTCAATACACATTGAAACTTACCTGAGAATTGCCTTCCATGTCCCCTGTTTTCCTGCTCTTTGAAGGACACAGGGGTTTTCTTTAGTCCTACTGTGACACTTCCTGCCAAGCTAGCAGACTCCATAGCCTAAAATCAGAGGATCTAGTGGCAGATATCCATTAAAAATATTCACAGTTTCAAGGCTTTAAATAAATTACTCCTTTTTTCAATTAAAAGGATGACAATAACTGTTTCAGAAAAGAACTAACCCACTTTTTGCCTTCTAAAATTTAGGCTGATTCTGAAGGTAGATGTATTTTCTTAACAAAAAATGCTTCCTAAAATGAGCCTATATTGAGAATTTTAACTTTTCAGGACACCAGCTCTGAACTCTCCTCACTTAAGACATAACTTGACTATGCTTGCTTGCATCACTCCTTATGCCCTAATGAAGTCCTGTGTATCACATTCTACTTCTACAGGCTTTTTTTTTTTTCCTGAGAGAATGCAGATCTACTGACTGACAAAATATCACTTATAAGGACACATTTTCCATAAATCTTTATTTAAAACGTCTCCATTGTCCATTATTAATTTACTGGTACTCAGGAAGATCTAAAACATCATAATGAATTCCTGTTTTATTCATGTACTCTAGCTGTCACCTTAATTTCCACAGAAATTATACTGGAATGCATGATACTGTAAATACTGGCATCATATTGTCACTTCTTTCTTTAAAATCTTTTAAAATGTCAGACTACGTGGAGTAATATATTCAAACCGGTTGTTATACCTCAGCTTTTGAGAGAAATCTTCGACAGCCTGTACGAACACACTGCAGTAACAACATGTGAGCTAACTTTTGCTATTGAAACAGCTCCAAAATCCTTCCATGAACACACTGAGAGTCTGCTCTAAAATTGATTCTAATTACAACGCTAGCAAGTAGAAAACATTAATTTAGGTCAGCTCCAACAACTGCTGCTATTTCTTGTCATATCAGAACACTGTCTTAACTATAGCATTGAATTTAATTACTGAAGTTTGATGTTTAAATACGTTTTAATTAGGACTGTGACTGAATTCTGGTGTTAAATGATCTAATTTCCAGTACTAAGCTGTTGCATCAATCATGCACTTTCACACCCAGATACTGTCTCTGCTTTTCTGTGTATCCATAGAGGTATTGTTGTTATTATTTTTCTACCACTTTGCCAATGGTGTGTACCATGTTGGGGAAAGGAGTGATCACTCTCCTATGAGGTGAGGACAAGCTGAGAGAGTTGGGGCTGTTCAGCCTGGAGAAGGCTCTAGGGAAACCTTATAGTGGCCTTCCAGTAGTTAAAGGGACCTACAGGAAGGCTGGGGAGGGACTTTTTTTCAAGGGCAGGTGATGACAGAACAAGGGGTAATGGCTTCAAACTGGAAGAGGGTAGGTTTAGTTGAGGTATTAGGAAGAAATTCTTTCCTGTGAGGGTGGTCAGACACTGGAACAGGTTGCCCAAGGAAACTGTGGATGCCCCCTCCCTGGAAGTGTCCAAGGCCAGGCTGGATGAGGCTTTGAGCAACCTGGTCTAGTGGAAGGTGTCCCTGCTGATGGCAGGGGGGTTGGAACTAGATGATCTTTAAGGTCCCTTCCAACCCAAACCATTCTACAATTCCTGATGGGAATAATAAAAGGTTAAAAAAAAAACCCAAAAAAAACCAAAAAAAAAACCACCAAAAAACAAACTTAGTTCCTGGGTAAGAGCTAACCTGAAGACCACTTTTTTGCTAAATTAAAACAGTAGCCTGAAGGTAAAGAATGGAACTACACACCTAAGTTAAAAACACAGATAAGGAAACTTTCCAATCATTTTAAATTAGCACGTGAAAAACAGGCAGCTCTCAGATTCTTAATTCCTGGTGTACAGCAGCCTTGTAAGTTTGCCCTCACGATCCAAAGGAGCCTTCACTCACCTTTAACCAAAGAACATGAAAGGAGTTTATTTTTACGGTCTCTCTCCTGGCTCTTCCATCCTCCTGCCCCCCCCAAACGCAGCTCTCCGAGCCTCTT